TTTTCTTTCGTGTAATTCAATGTTTATATGAAAGTAGCTGTTTCAGGAGGACTTTCTTTCAGTTTGTGTCTGAAAGTTACTTCTTTGCATGATCTACACATCTATGTATAGAGTTACTTATTTTCAAATTGATTACTTCCTTCCTTTCTTTGGAAGATTCTCTCATTCCTTTTTTTTGTATCAGATGGAGTCAGCCAGAGAGTCAGAGAGTCAGAGAAAGCCAAAAACTTTCTTTCCCAAGAATTGTGATATTTGAAAATGCAAAAGTCAGAGCGATTTGAATGATGACGTTTTTACTTGAATTCAGTTATTTTTACATTTTTTCGTAATATGATGACTGGGTGAGATAGTAAAAGGATTTATTAGGATCTTACCTTCTTGAAACGACACAATTTAGATTTTTTGCTGGTTCACATTCAGTGATATCCTTTCCTGGCAGTTGGCAGGTATCTGAAAAGAAAAAAAACATCGGGATAAAAAATGTGTTAATATTTTTAGTGTCATTCCGATAATGATCAAATTTGGTATGACTTTTGTCATTTTCATTTCCTCACAGAGAAATATTTTGATTTTTCATTTCAATCGAAGTACAGAGTAAGTGAATCAATATGAGCAGAGAAACTCTTATTTAAAAAAAAATGCTGGAAGACATGGTTCAATGGCTCAATGGCTCAAATTTTCAAATATCAACGAAGAACAAGGTCGCGAAGCTGAGGCTTTTGCACTAAGCAGCGGACTTACTCACATTATAAATGGATTAATCAGAATTTCTTACCGAAATGGAGAATATGCTAGTCTTCTGGATCTGTACTTAACAACCAATCCAGAAATTTTCACAGTCACCGTAAGATCTTCTTTGGGATCTTCTGACCACAAACTCATTTCAGTATTGAGTGAATTACCGATAAATGTGGGGAAACGAGAAACAATCTAAACTGCGCAAAGTTTGGCATTACAGATCTGCTGAGTGGGAGGATCTTCAAGACCGTTTCCGAAATTTTCCTTGGCTAGATGTTTGTTTCAGCTCTAATGATCCATAAACTTGTGCTTTTGAAGTCACGGAAGTTATTCTATCATCTATGGATGCATATTTTTCTTTTTCCATGAAACAAACTTTTAACGGCAAACCATGGTTCAACAAAAATTGCAAGCAAACTGTTGTCCCCAGAAATTTCGTCTACCGGCAGTGACGTAAAACTCCCAAAGTCGAAAATCGAACTAGGTTTGTTGTTAATGTTCTCAACAGCTGCAAACTTAGAATAAATGAAAGCCGAAAACTTCACAATCAGGAAATTGGGGATAAATTGCTTGCCAATCCCTTCGGGCCTAGATCCTTCTGGTCGTTATCTAAAACTGTTGATTAAAATTTTACAAAATCCACAATTTCACCACGAACACTAGCGATAGCCATAGAAAAAGCAAATCTACTAGCTGAACAATTTGCGTCTGACTCCACAGTCGATTTCCTGGGAAAGTCAACACCCTTTATTCTCACACTAGAATCCACAATGGCGGAAATTACTTTTCGACAATGTATGGTCAGGTGAAATTTGAAACAGCTAAATATCAACAAGGCGTCTGGTCCTGAGGAAGTGCCCTTCATCGTACTGAAAAAGTGCGCTAATAAACTCGCACCAGTATTTTGCAGACTTTCCAACGTGTTCTACAAGGGGTTTTTTCCTTCTTGTTGAAATATTGCTCGCGTTCAGCCTATTCCAAAAAAGGGACATGAAAAATCTTCCAAATATGAATAGACCAGTCTCCTTGCTATCATTGATATTAGAAATCATGGAAAAAGTCGTAACCATATCCTCAAATAGTTGGAAGGCTTCAACGTCTTGAGCGATCATCAAAATGGCTTTCGGAGACAAAGATCAACAGGCGACCTTCTATCGTATGTCACCCATATTTCGAATAACACAATCGAAAAACATGGTGAGTCAAGAGTTGTTACGCTTGATATTTCTGAGGTCTATGATCGTGTGTGGCATGAGGGTTTGTTGGTCCAATTTCGATGCTATGGTTTGTGGGATCATTTCTGTGTATGGCTCTTCTTCTTTCTGAAAGAACGTTTCCTGCAAGTGGCTGTCGGTGGATACCTCTCTAAAGACTTTTATCATCAACGCTTGTGTTTCCTAGAGGTCCATATTGTGCCCAACCCTTTTTTTATTCTATACCAACGACTGGTTGAAAAAAACCAACAATCCAATATATTGCTTTGCTGATGATAGCACACTTGTCTCGTCTGTTCATTTAGATTCCAGGACATCGACTGCAGATGCACATCTTCACCGGCAGCAGAAGGTTATATATCTCAATGGAAATTTAGAAGTGACTTCGAGTTGGGGTGAAAGAAACCAGGTTCAAAACCCCGGCATCGGTTTACTTCAAAAAGATAAATGTCTCCGAACCGGATATAATAATGTCACGACAGACAATTCCGCTTTTTACTTCGAAAAGTTTGTTGGGGGTTAAAATGGACATCATTATGTCTTGGCACAATCATGTCGGTGCAATTTCAAACACCTCAGTATTTTTTGATGCTTTATAAAGCCCAGATTAGACCTTCTATGGAGTATTGTTCTCATTTACGGAGCTCCGCCTCAAAGCATACTCTGAACCTGCTGGATACCATCCAAAGAAGAGCCATCCGCCTGATTGGAGACGCGAACATCACTTGCCACCTGGATAGTCAAGAACATCTAAGAAAGGTTGGAGATTTGTCCCTCTTTCACAGATAATTCCACGGGAAGTGTTCAAGTGACTTGGCACATTTGATTCCACCCAGAGCGTTACATATCAAAAATTCGCGAGGGACTGTGGCTGCTCATCGTTTTGAGATTCAACTCAGTACACCTCGAACTTCACTATTTAAGAGCTCTTTCATATGCGTTCATGTGGAATAAGCTTCCTAAGAACGTTTTTCCAAATGGATTTGATCATCTCCAACGATTCAAATCCAATGTGAATCGCTTCTTTCGCACAGGCACCGCTCTGAGAGCGCCTTAAGAATTTTCCCGTAGTGCTTGTGTTCTATCCTTCGAAGAAAAAGGACTTATGTGCTTCACATATGTGTTAGGAATCACACGTTAAAAGGTAAGACCTTTTAACGTGTGAGTTATGGGAATTTATGGAGCTGCTCATCCCCAGTGATCACAGGAAATTGAAGTGAACTTATGTGCTTCACATGTTGTATTTTCAAATATTATTGGACATTAATGAAGCTGCTCAGTTTCAGTGAGCACGAAAACTCTTATTTTATCAAAGAATGCTGAAAAAATGGAAGTGAATTTATGTGCTTCACATGTTGTATTTTCTAATATTGTGAGTTATGGGAATTTATGGAGCTGCTCATTCTCAGTGAGAACAGGAAATTGAAGTGAACTTATGTGCTTCATATGTTGTGTTTTCTAATATTGTGAGTTATGAGAATTTATGAAGCTGCTCATCCTCAGTGAGCACAGAAAATCGAAGTGAACCTATGTGCTTCACATGTTGTATTTTCAAATATTGTAAATTTTGAAAATTCATGAAGCTGTTCAGTTTGTGAGCACTGAAACTCTTATGTTATCGAAGGATGCTGTAAAAATCGAAATAAATTTATGTGCTTCACATGTTGTATTTTCGAATACATAATGTAGATTACGGAAATTTATGAAGCTGCTTGGCCTCACTAAGCACATAAAATTGATGTGAACTTATGTGGACGGTGGTTCAAACCCTAATCTGAACGATCGATTTTCACTTGGCTATCGTCCAACCCGTATTAGGAATCACACGTTAAAAGGTAAGACCTCGTTAATCCTTAGCTCGTACAAGTTTCGACTTCTGAGGGTTGTCGTTCGTAGGGGTGCGACAGCTGGTTAACGGAAAAACAGATTTTAAAATAGGTTATCAAATATTGTAAATAACGGCAATTTACAAAGCGTCATAGTCTCAGTGATTACACTCAGAAATCATAAGTCACTCTCTTTAGATAATACATAATATGTGCAAAACGTGCATACTTGATATTTTAGGCCTAGGCTAATGACCACTGTAGTCAATGTCCACCGATAAAAAATTCTGATGACAATATTGTTCCATGAATAAGGATTCGTCATTTGGACTTACTTCAGTAGAAGCGGCCCCGATTGAGCCAGACAGACAGCCGGAGCGAGACAGACAGCCAGGCATCCAACTGGTACTCCACATCACCGCTCAGGCCTTCTTGGTACCCCACCTAACCTATCAGCTCCCTCGGTCCCATTCAGTCACGTGATTTTAAATAAAAAAAGTTTATAGTTATG